TATATATACTGTAAAATTATCAACCAGGTGAAAAAGAAAAGAAAATGAGACATTTGACTGGAACGTTGAAGTTGAAGCTCAACTAGTTCACCAGTGTATTAGCCCCGCCCCCTCCACATAAGCAAAGAGGACTTTTCACATTTTAAAAACACAATTTATCTGTTAGAAAACATTGCATGAACCAATGAACTAGCTTCTATGACTCAGTACCTTCTGGAGTCAAACCAATTCAAAATGGCCGCCACAGCTAACTGCTAACACTAAAATTAATAAAAATCAGTCAGTTTTACAGATATTTCTATGAAAAAAAGTTTCAGCTTTATGTGTTTATATAGATCTTTATCTCAAATTAGCATTCGCAGTTAGCTTAAAATTAAAATTAGCTTTCAGGTTGTTAAGGGTATAGCGCTCGGCTAAAATCACAGCTAATTTCAGCTCAGTGTTTCAAAAAAAGGCTAAATTATAGCCATTTGAAATTAGCTTTGGTCTTTGATTATTTGTATTCAGTTTGTTAATTGATTAGTTATATACAGAGGTCTATAAATTACTTTTTACTAAGTAAAAAATACCTTGACAGAAAATGACAAAATAAATGTCACTGAGAAAAGTACTTATGTAAAAGTCATAAAACTGATGACACTGATGGATAAATAAAATAATAAATAAACTGTTAAATTAAAACATGTATCTACTGCCTCAGATTTACTCGAGGTTTAGTGGAAATAGTTGACATGATAATTTTTAAAGCACTTAAACAACTCGTTTCACGATGAGTTCAAACAGATTTAATTTATAACGAGTAACTAGTTGTAAAAGTAAAAGCATCATTTTTAGGTTTTAAAAGTAACAAAATAAAAGTAAAAGTCACGGTTAAAAAWTTTTTTTTGGTAATATTACAAATGCTCAAAAAAATTCCATAAGTGCTGTAACAAAATAAATGTGCTTAGTTACTATAAACCTCTGGTTATTTAAACTTTCAGCTGTGTAAGTGGCTGAATATTAGCCTTTTATAAAAAAAATAGCATTAGCAGTTAGTTGAAACTGGGATTAGCAATCAGCACAAAAATCAAAGCTTCAGCTCAGTATTTCTTCAAACGTGGTGGTCCAGMGTCACCCTGGGGCAATAAAYTCTAGCTCCGCCCCTGCTGAGGGTTCCTCTGCAGAAACCTGAGAATTTTTCAATCAATCACTAAATTTAACTGGAGTTAGTTGGGATTACAAGAGTCTGGATATAAATTATTATAATGTGGACCCATCTGGTCCTGCTGGACTCACCTGGTCCTGCTGGACTCACCTGGTTTAGTTTTACAGTTGATCCCTGCGGCTCCGTTGCAGGTGCAGACCAAGGTGTTGCCCCGGTACTGCTTCTCCCACTGCTGGTTCTGCCTGTAGGTCTGCCCGTTCTCCTCACAGCTCACTGACAAGAACCAACATCAGATTAATCCAAGATTAGGATTAAAAACACTCAGATTAAACAACAAAAATCAACTCCAAGCTCAAATAAAACCAGTAAAAAAGTCGAGTCTGTGGTTCTGACCTGGACTGAAAGCCGGGTCTTGAAGGTTCGGGTACACCTGGTACTGCCCGCTCTGTCTTTTGCCCTTCTTCGGTGCGCCATGGACCGCGCCAATTACGCAGAGCGCAACCAGAACCGCGCTCAGTGCGGCGCGGGTCATCCTGGGTTTTAATGCAAAATAAAAGTACAATAAAATAATTAAAGCGTGGAGAGATCTGGTTCTGGCTCCAGGCGGTCCGCTCTGCCGAACCCTGCAGCTGCTGCTGTCTCCAGGCTGAGCAGACCCGAGCGCGTTGCTTTTATACCAGAACCCCCCACCCACACCCCTGCTCCTGGTCCCCGTGGTCCGGACACACACACACACACACACACACACACACACACACACACACACACACACA